AAAAAAAAAAAAAAAAAAAAAAAAAAAAACGGAGTAAGTCCACAATTCTAATAGACAAAATAGACAGACAGCTTTGCTCAACTATTGCTGTTGAAAAAAAAAAAAAAAGAAAAAGCTATTTTTTAAGAAATAACACTAACTTGCTGCTTTTCACTGTGAAAGAGTTGATCTTCATGAATTGAATAAAACAATCTTAGGGCACAGAATAAAAATAGCTGGTGTCACTGTACAATTGTACTCCTATATTTGTGCTGTTGCAACACTAGAATCTTAATGTGGTTGCATGCCGACTTTCTTAAAGCTGTTTGCAAGAAGAAAACCAACATATTTGGAATATATGATTTAACCCTTGTGTTTAGGAATGGGGTCCAACCGACCCCACACACGTAAAACTTGTATCATTTGCCTCAGTCCTCGCACGCACCAGGGTTAAACCCTCTTCAATTTGATTTCTTTTTCCAGTAACCTCATGAAAAAAGTAGAGACTGAAAAGAAAATCACACAAAATAAAGCCACGCTATACTCCAGAATGTTTTTTTATTGTATTTAGTTTTTATTATAATTTTCAGCTTGTATTACTTTAAAGTCAAAACGCAGAGGTGCATAGTCATGAAGGGAGCATGAGCAACATGGTCACAAAGACAAACAGCTGAACGTTCACAGGAAAGTTGACCCAGGAGTACAGAGTTGCAGATTTGCTTTGCTTACATGTGTTAGACTGACTATGAACAAATTTCAAGCTATACACCCAAGTTCTAACATTTTCTACAAGGTGTTTGGTCTCGTGTGAATATATGAAACTCTTGTCTTCGTTAAGTTAGATGGATATGTAAAAGATGTTAAAGAAGTCCAAAATTTAGAGCTGCTGTCTGAAAAGGGGAATTGGTCAGTTTAAGTATGTGCTCGTTTTGTTATACATTGAGCTAGCTTGCCTTGGTCTGTGTGTTTCTCCTTTTGTTATTATTAATATTATTTATTTATTTTTTTTTTTTACAAAAGTTAATATATTTCTTTTCCATTTATAATACTCTTAAAGCAGGAGCAAATTGTTATTATGTTTTAAACCACAATTAGCTCAATGACTTCATCATTTAATCTTTATGGAATAGTGTTGCAACGTACAACTAATGTACTATTTATTTACCTCCCAGGTGTCTTAATGTTTTCGGTCTTTTATATGTCCAGAAACAGACTAAAATGCCAATTACAGCTTATCAAAACAAAGTTGACGTTACTAGATGTGCTCATCCTTAAATAGGTTTATGGAAGAGTCACAAATAAAAGTGACACTACTAAACCGTGTAAAATATATATATTTTTCTTCTTAACTTTCTCAAAGTTTTAAAACACAAATTAAAAATATTTGGCAGTTTTCCTTTTTTAACTCACAAACCATTGCAGCTCTGGACTGGAATGTGGGAGGCAGAGGGAATTAGACGTTTGGCGTGGCAGTGGGACTTTCACCTGCTCATACTGCAGCAGTTTGTTCTGAGCAATACTTGTAACACAATACGGAAGCTGACAATGTTACTGTGGGTTTTTGACTATGTAGTTTCAGAGTTGTGTTGTAGGAATAGTGGTGTAACAACAGCAGACGTGAGACTCTTGGACTGGCAGTACGAGTTTCAGCTGCTCTGGCAGTAAGAGCAATACTAACCCTAAGGAACTATAGTGGTCACTCAGAAGTCATAACACTGGGTCATTACAGTGACCTCAGGGTGTCTACAAATTTTCATTTCTCACTCTTAGCTGTCAAATGGCAGCAGTTTGCCAGTTGTCCATTTGCAGAAACTGATGTCTGTATTTTTCAATGGATTTTCTGTAAACTTAGACATTTTTTTAAACTTATTAAACATGAGTATCCCTTTAATTTATTACAAAAAAATTTAACTGCTCCAACTCGTATTATTACACAAAGCAATAGCAATAAATGCAACACTGTGGATATCTGTGTACTGTAGTGGAAGTAGTCAGTGATCTTACCACATAGATAATTAAACATATATTTCAGCTTGCACTATAAATGATCGCTTTTTTACATGCTGCAATCCTAATTTTGCAAATTGAGATACACTCGATGCATCTGGCATGTTACATTGGCTTGCCGTTCAGGGGAGTTATGTTATGCATTTTTCTGCCACTAGGTGGCAATCTTTTGATCTTTTTTTTCCCCTCTCTGCTCTGTTACACCGCTGCAGAGGTGGAATTTTGAACAAATTCTATCTGAACTGCAGCAGCCAATATGAGGAGGTCGCTGACATACAGAGCTATGCTGTCGTCAGCGCGGATATTTCTCAGAGGAGAAGAGAAAACACCTCAAGGTACCAACATGAATACAAAAACAGGACGAGAAAAAACAAAACAACTTTGCTTTTAGCATGGAGGTTGTTACAAAGTCCATAGACATAAAGGCAGCTCTTTGACAATCAACTAATTTTAAAGCAAGGCGCGTAATTTTGTCTGGCTAAATCCGAGCACCACTCTTAAATATTATCGTGTACATGAAGCAAACAAGCCCAGGCTAACAGGCAGATTTTGGTCATGTTTTCTGGAGTCAATAGTCTTCGTTCGAGAAAACACACAATGCAGGTTGAAGATTACAGGGTTTCTGCATGTCACAAAAGTTTCAAATTTAGTACTCTGAATTTTGATCCTTAAAAAGTAAAAGAAAAAAAAAAAATCCAGATTATTGTTTACAAGTCTGAAATTAAGTTATTTTCTAAATTTGTACTCACATTACTGCTTTCACATGCTCTTTGTTTTTCCCCTTCTTTTTTTGCAAGAACAAAATTTTGCACAAGCAAGAATCCTTAACTTGCAGAAACCCTAAATAAAATCAAAAAAATAGAACAGTATTTTTTTTTTTTTTTTGTGAAAACAAGTACTGTATCCATAATGCTAATGAGAGGGTAAGACATATCGGGTAAACTAACACTAACAAACACATCGACTCCCCAGTATTGCTTTCGCCTGCAGGAAGACAGTGAATGTAGATATGCACCTTTTTTTTTGTTGAGGGATCTGTAAAGGAAGGGTTTTACAATTGTGCCTGGATCTTAGTATGTGTGTCAGTAGAGCATCCCTACATCCATAACATTCACATTTTAGAGCATATTAAGGACACTGTTACATACAACACCGCACAATTTCTGCACAGTATTTGGTTACATCCAACTAATCACTGCTCTAGGAATATAAATCATTCTCCTTTCCATTTACACCAAGCAAAATAATTCCAACCTATAGACAGTTTGCACTTAAAACTGCCAAGTGGAGGATAACCTAATCCATTTTTGTTTAACCCTGTCGCGTCTCATGAGTTTGAAAGCATTTGTGTCGCATGCAGTTGCTGAATGAAATCTGATTGCCTGAACTAATTTAGGAAAGTAAGAGACACATTTATCCAGATGGCATTCAAGTGAACACATCTGTCTCCTCAAGACATTCACAACAAAACGTCCTCTTAATATACAGCATTGCACATTGCCAAATAGGATCTTGTCAATGGCGTACTACAAGACTGAGTTGGATATTAATAATGCTAACTGCATCAGCAACATGGGCTTCTGATAAGTGAAACAGATAATTGCGATCCGTTTATAATATCAAGAGCAGGAGATCGGCTGCTTTGTGTGGCGTCAAAGTATGTAAGCATATGCAGTTGGATTTTCGTCAGTTCTTTTGAAGTTATTTACTTGGCAGCTGTACATGAAGCACAGTTCAATTAGATCTTAATTCATGCCAATTCCACATTAAAGAAACAATAAGGAGATTTTTATAACTTTTTATGGCTTTGAGGCTAATTGCAGATGTTAAATCTGCACAGTGAATTTAATGCTAAGTGTAAATGGAATGCAGTTTCCTTTATCTAGCACAAATCAATCAAGCTATTTGATGCTAATGCCAGAACATTAGATCAAAATGCATTTGTGTGGTATCGATATACACATTGGTACAATGAGATATGCCGAGGACAGACAGAGCTGCCTGGCTGTCCAGACACATCTATAAAGTGCCTTGCAACAGGTTATTGCATCATCTGATGTCTGCCTTATTGCTTCCATTGAAAGCAAGAGCGGCACTCTCATAAAAGAGAGCAAGGAACTGGTACAAATGAAGAATTCAAAATGATCAAATTAAATAATACAATGTGTGGAAAAAAAAAAATCAGAAACACCATTTATAACTTTGTACAAAATTGCATTTTGCTTTAGTAAAGTGCGTGATTTTTTTTTTTTTTTCTTTGAAAGGCCGGTCTACTATCTCGTGGTATTAAAGTGGCTAGGAGCATGTAAGTCTCTGTGTGGATGGATTTCTGTATGCGTGTGACTTTCACTTACTGAGGTTTTGAATGTGTGTTCAGCGGGTCAAGTCTGCCTGCTGCACAGACGTGACCTCATGCTGTAAATCTAAAAAAAAAAATAATAAATAGATTCTCTGGTTTCCTAAGTGCTTTTAACACAATGTTTTGCTATGTTACCTTGAAATGGGGGAAATGGAGATTTCATTGACTGTACAGTTTCATAGGAATTTGTCAATGTTACTTTACGAAGACATGCTCCAACATGCATTTTTGCATTTCTGTGTTCTTTACTTTTCAAACTACTTAGCATCAAAAGTTGCTAAGATTGTACAATTTTACTGGATACTAATTACATAATAATTACAACCTAAAAGGAAACTTCTTGTGATGTTCAGTGACCAAACTTTAAAGTACCTGACCAATGAAACTTACTGACTACTCTGACATGTGGACTATGCTAGACGCTGTATATTAAGCATGGGCTGTTTATGAATATCAAACTATATCCAGTTTTTTAAGAAGTGACAGTTTCATAATCGCTAAAATTATCCATCACACTGTTCTTATGGTTTGGGGTCCTTAAAATGGCTTTATGGTGCATAAAGCATCACAGCGCTGCCATTCTCCCTTCTGTTGCTGTGCACTGACAGTCAGCTGGCTAAAATAAAGTTTCTACATTTTTCTGTGGCCTACATGAAAGAAAAATATGGCTAACTGTATAACTTCTGTTTCCAGGAACAAAAGTAGTGACGCCTATCACTCACTTTGCAAGTCCCGGGCAGCGTACTCCGGGGTCGCTACCAAAGCAGAAAGCCAAACTAAGATATAACATAACTAGCTGAATAACTAATGTGGAACTGGTATAAAATATGAAAAATAGTTATTCGATACTTTTGCTTATTTGTGTCTATCAAAATCAAATTGTAAAGAAAATAAACCTTAATAACCAATATGCTGTATCATCTTTTAGAAGAGGATACACTGCGCTTGTTGATTTCTGTTATTAATAAAGGTGATTAGACCGTGTTTCAAATTTTTGTGTAAATACTGTAAACATTGAATTACTAAAATCTCACACCCAGTAAACTAGCTTAGACCAAAGAGAGGACAGCCATTCTACTAAAAGACTTTTGTCAAACATATGCCAAGTTTTGATGTAGCCTACAGTGGAGCCACCTCTGCTGTTTTAAATAATATACAGAAAGTGCATCATGTACTTTGGTTATTGCGTTCGTACTATATTTATACATTACATGTCACTCTACCAAAATTATTTATAAAAATAATACAATTTTCAAGCTGGATAATAAAAAACTAAAGCAAAACTTGCAAAACTGAAAAGTGTAATTGCTTTCTTCTCCAACTCACTCGCCTGTGCTTATGCTTATTTACATTTACTCCAATCAGTGAAACTGTACAAAAATAATTTAGTATTTAAGGTGACAGTTGCAGCCCAGATTTCCTCTATTCTGTTATTATTATGTTTTATTATGTACTCTCCAGGCATATAGTAACATTTTATAGCACAATCAAGTAAACGTGTTACCTTCAGTTGTTATAAAAATGTTGTATATATCAAACATGTCTTATAAGAAATTTGACTTTACAATCTGACACCTCAAAATTGGCTTCTGTCTCTTTAAGAAGCTTCTGCTGGGGCTCCCCTATCTGGTGCACACGAGGTACCACAAACTCTCATGGACACCAGATACTATCTTCCCTGTGTTAATGTGTTAACTCTAAATATAATGTTATGTTTTCTTAGTTAACCACCCACAGGCCTTGTGGTATGATTATAAATTCCTTTCAGAACATAAAAAAATTTATATAGCTTCTCTAGGAAACGGGAACAGTATCTATGTTTTAACTGTATGACTCGATAGTTTTTAGATTGTTTTTCAGTGACTTTCTTTTTTGCTGGAATTTCAATAATAATTTGTGCTGTGCAATGTATTTTAAAGATGTTTTGCTTAGGTTTTCTTTGAGGGTTAAAGCTGGAATCCAGACTAGTTTCATGTAGATCAACTAACCAAAATAACAACATCTTACACTCCTCCAATAGGCTGATGTTTTACAGAAATGGGGTGGAGGTGGGTCGCAATTTAAATAACCCTAAATTGGTGTAAAGTGTTTATTTCAGCAATTAAGCCGGCTTTGGAAATGCTAAATGAGACACAAACTATTGTTGGTGTGTAATGGTGCAGCATACGCTCATGTGAGAATGTACAAAATGCGCACATGCTAAAATTGCATTGAGTATTAGAAGCAGCAGGATTAAAGTCATTCGTCTCTATGGGGAGCATGGTACTCTCAGGATTGTCTTGGAGGGTTTGGGGAGTTTTAGGATGTTGATGAGTTTTATCCTCCCATCAGCAGAGGGAGCAAAAGCAGAACAGGCACCAGTGTTTATCCGAACCAAAACCTTCAAACCTGTGCTCAACTGGATCATTCTGTCCCACAAGAAAAGCTGTCCACAGTGATTAGCCAGATGTACTGTACTGTCAATCTTCCACTGGCATTAGTGAAGCAAATCAATGTGGATCTCGCCCGCCCCTGGTTGTAAACCTGAAAAACCGAGGAGAAATGTGCAGTTGCCTCATTACTCACTGGCACAGTAAGTTATGGTTTCAAACTCTCAGTCAGTAGCAAAATATCAAGTTGTTAATGCTAACAACACCTATGGCAGTAATGTACATGTATCGTTTCATTTATTATGTTTGCTGATGATTGAGAAATGTTTACTTTTATTTATGACTTGTAGATTAAACACCAGCAGTGTTTAATCTGTTGGTTAGTTTTGTCTGGATTCAAGTATGAATTTAAATTAAATGGTGTAAATTCAAACTGAACAGTTTAATCCATGTCTGTGGCTATAATGTGGTAATATAAATGACGATAATTGAATGGGCAGTTCTACAATTACAGACAGACGTAACTAAAACCTCTGAAGCTTTGGGTTCAGTAACATACAGATGAGAGTCGTAGAACAGGCAGCACACTGTGCGCCTGCTGGGCTTTCACAATAGATACAGAGTGATCCAGCCTCTTGCACAGTCTACACTTCCCAGATCTCAAGCATAATTTAAAATAGATATTCAGAAGTTGCATTATTTAGATTCTAGTAGGATAAAACAGTCCGTTGATAAGAGCTTTTTTTTTTTCTTTCAGCATGTATAATCCTCTAACATATTTACAAACATACAATCATTACATTACACTTAAGCCTTTGGTGTAGCTTTGTTGTCAGCTTTGGCTCCTGAAAGTCCATTTTCTGTATTGTCGTTCCCTGAGGAGCTCACCAGGCACTCTTTACTACAGAAGAGAGAAAGAAGCAAAGGTTAAAAGACTAGCATGAGATTAAGGCTCTATTCTTTGAAAACAACGACTAGGAAGGTAGAGATAGAATAAATTAACGATGGGCTAATGGGTTGCAGGTGTGAAGGGAGAGAGAGAAGAGGAAGTGACACAGGGGAGTGAGGGAAGGCACACTGGGGACTAGGAATTTAATCTAAGAATAAAGAATGACTAAACATAAGAAACATAAAAGTAAACAAAGAAAGGACTACACAAGAAAGACACCTAATAAAACCAGAATCACCTGGACAGGACCGAACCCAATTAAAACAGAAACACCGCTGATCTAATCAAAGCAACACAGAATTACAAAACCCAAACCAACTCAAACGACCCAAGATCCTGACATAAAGCTTGCTTAGCACTCCGAAACACTTGGAAATGGGGCAACATGGGTTCACCTACCAGCAGACATCGACAAAAAGACACTCCGCTGAAGCCACAATGGATAGTTAAAAACTATTGTAGGTGTTAGAGCGGCCCATTTGGGGCGATGCATGGTGTAGCGAAGGAGCAGCCAATCCATGTGTATGGAAACTATTAGGCAGCTGCCTGAGGGAGGAAGACCCAGAACATGATGGATGAACTATATTTCTCAGCTGGTCGGGTAACGCTTCGGGATTCCCAGGCTGATGCTTAGGATGAGAGGCAGCAGCCGTTCTCTGATTAGGCTGCTGCCGCCGTGATCTTGCCCCAGATCAGCAGAGGACAACCGATGGATGGTTGGAGTTATTTCACTGTGTTTGAGGTATTTCTAAAAAGAAATCTACATGTGCAAAGCCGGCAGAAACATACCTCAAAAGACTTGCAACTATAATTAAACAGTGGAACTACAAAGGATTGGCTCAGGTGCTGACTATATGCACAATACCTTTGAAAACTTTATATCTTTCTTCTTCCTTCTTCTACTTAGGTGCTACTTTGTGTTGGCCAGACATAAAACCACAAGAAAATAAACTGAAAACTCAAGTATGACGTAGTAATCTGATAACATGCAAAAAAGTGTAGTTTTGCAAAGTACTGTACTCTAGTTGGTATCATACTCACGTCTTCTCATTACCCTTGTGTAGAACATGAAGGACCACTGCCTTTATCACCATGATGAGGATAACTAAACCAATGACTCCACCCAGAACTGAGACAATTATGACTGTCAATGTGTTGTCGACCTCCTTCACTGTAAAGAGCAAGAGAAAGAATGGCATTAACTTTATTTACGTGCTCCAGGTGTACGCACGGCACTACATGAGTCACCTACTTTGGTCGACCACGATAAGCGTGAAGATAGCACTGTGGTTGCGGTTCTTCTCCTTTGGGTTTCTGGCAAAACAGGTGTATTCCCCTTCATCCTCAAAAGTTATGTTCCACAACAAGATGGAGATGTTGTTTGTCTTTGAGGAGCCAACAAACTCAACACGTTCGTGGAAAACATGGACCTTTGGCTCCACTTTCTCCGTGGGAATCTCTGCTTCACACAGCTGTACACACAAACATCTACTTAGACAGAAAGCATAGGTTATCCACTTTATTTCCAAGTACTCTAAAAAAATAATGTTTTCTTGGCATTGTTTCTTGCATATTACAACTTAAAACTGAAACATTAATTCTGGTTAATAAAAGAAGTACTTAGAAGTATAAAAAGGTATTTTTAAATGCCTGTTTTTGTGATGTAACATAAAGGGCATGGTAAACCGTTTCAAAATATTCCCCTTGCATAAAATGACAATTATCGTGTGCAAATCAATGACAAACAAATACATTTGTTGGAAGAGAAAAGATAAAAACTACTTGTTAGATCTCAGTGTTGCTTTTGACACAGTCGATCACAATGTTCTTTTAGAAAGACTTGAACATGTTGCAGGCTGGGGCTTGACTCTCACACCGCAAAACGGACAAAAGTGGAACCATAACTTTAAAAAACAATAATTTTATTTTCTGTATAAAAACACTATGTTTTCTCAAATATCAAAACTACTATGTGTGTGTGTCCCTGTGATGACAAAATAAGTAATCATGTCTTTGTCTGTTGTTGAGGGGGTTACTGTTTTTTTTTTGTAATTTATTTTCCGTTTGCATTGTGCCACGTTCAGCAAATTAACATTTTTGTACAATGACATCCTTCTGATTTGTTGTAATCTGTCTGCAAATTCTGTCTTCAGCAAATGACACAACATGTAAAAATACAAGTACAACATAGGCTGAACTTTACACTTCTGCTTTAAGGAGGTTTGGACTTGAGCAATGAGATTGAGCAAATAGATTGCTCTTCAGATGATTTGTACAGAATAAACGTCCCATTACATGCAAAAAAAAAGGGGGGTTTGAAATGATTTACTACTTATTGCCTGTCATTTTAGAAAGGTGCCTTCAAGACAGACACTGCAATAAACAGAGCTCAAAGTTAAAAAAAAAAGGACAATAACTCATGTGGCACAAATCAATTCCCCAAGTAAAATAATTTTATTTTGACATGTCGGGTTGTGGTGATTATTACATAACTGAGGTCTAGAACATGAGGTTAAAATTGAAAGGATTATTGATGGTAGTAAATATATCCGTATTTTTGAAGGCAAAGAAAAAAACAAAACAAAACAGAGTACTATGTTTTAAAGGCCTGGTCTAGTCAAAGCCAAGTTCAGTTCTAAATTTAGTTGTAAGGCAGAAACAACATAGAGAAGTGGTAAAAGGCAGTAAAAATCCAATCAACTTTCACGTAGTTGCAGTTCTGTCTCAGTTTAAAAGCAGTTTTTACTTTGAGTGGTTGTACGTACACATAATCTTTTGTCATACCTTTAAAAAAGTCCCATTGTCATTGTATTTCCAGTTGAAGTAGAGGTTTTTGATGCCAATGCAAGATGAGTAAGTGCAGGGCAACAGAACTGTGGAGCCATTCATTGCTTCTATTGAGGAAACTTTACCCGTGGAAACCTCCAATCCACCAACTCTCCAAGCACCTGAACGACAAACAGAAACACAACATTCAGAGAAAAATACCTAAAGATAGAGTTTGATTAATATTAAACTTAACCTAAAAAAAAGGAAGTATGACTCGCTATTGGAGCATAAAAACACCACATTGTGTACTACATTTTAAAATGTTTTAGACAGATTCACATTTTTTCACAACTTACACTGCTTCATCTAAAACTAATACTAAACAGGATCTGGCAACCAACCCACCAGAAACTTTTTATTCCTAGAAGTCCTCAAAGTACGGTAATATTACATGATTAGTTTTAAATAATAATAATAATAATAATAATAATAATAATAATAAAACATGTCATAATATTTCACACTTCTGAAAAACGTACATCCCAAAAGTGCTTTGCACAGTGACAAACTAAACAAGAATTAAATTAACAGTCATAAAATAAAGACAAAAAGACATGAGATAATAATGCGATTAAATTCAAAGAGAAAATCAAAATACACCCTTAGAAGTGAAAACCACACACAAGAAGATATGTTTGCAGCTTACTGTGAAGATGTGCTGTTTGTTTAACACCCTTAATGTGAGCTTGTTCAACGGCTGCAATGAAATCACAAAATCCAAACATCCTCTCCCATAACGGTGGAAACTTCAAAGAGCTTGCCTACGGAGAGCAGAGAACGTGGAATCCACTTATGCTGCTGTCGACGTGGATTGCTGCAGGGAATACTGACCACCTTTTTTCACACTGCTACTTTCACCTGCTATCCTCCATTATGCATTGTCTGCAGTGGTTGACCCTTAAACCTGATGTTCTCTCTCTCTGGTTTTGGTTTCTTCTTTTCAGAGAACTTACACCTGGCCTGCTGTAAGTTCTGCTGTGACACCTTCCTGGAAGGAGCAGCGGCCGGGCTATTGCTGGAAATAACCTCATGTGCAGAAAAAGCCTTGTTGAAATGCTTTGCTAGGTGTTGGCTGGCATTTTAAGAGAGGTTTCTACACTCAAGACAGCCACTGCAGTAAATGGAGGCCAAAAAAAAAAAAAAAAAAGAAAAAAATCTCATGGGGTAAAAACCTTTTCCCCTGTGAACAAATTTTAATATGACATGTATGGGTTGTAGCATCTTCCCTAAGTCTACAAAATCCCTCAACACAGTAGGTACACCATTTCCTTATTCATCTGTGCAAATTTATCAGTCTCGCCTTACCAGTTCCAGAAGCCCAACACCCTCAAAACTGTTACACTACTATATCTACTTCTTGCAAATTTCTTCTGTAATTTGTGTCCCTTCCATGATTCTGTATCTATGCATTTTTTTTCAGCACTAGAAGCCTTTATTGACAGTCGAGAGAGAAGAGAGGAAGACACACAGCAAAGGTCTCTGGGACATTTACGCAGGACGGCTGCCTTGAGGACTGTAGCTTCTGTATACTGGGCACAGCCGCTGGCAGGGAGCCACAGGATTTATTACTTGTACGTAATGTGGATTGTATTCATTAGATAAGTATCGATTGGATAGATGGCAACACAACTTGTTTATAAGAAACACCTGTAGAAAGTGCACAAAACTTGAATCTGTAGAGTTCCTGCTGGGATAGCTGTGAATAGAAGGAATTAAAAACAAGTTCTTGTTAGGGCAGCCCTGACTCTGACAAAGGGAATCAAACATATTTTCTAGTACAAGTGGTGAATGTCTAGAATGAAAATCTCCATGGGGTAAGAATGATCTGAGGATAGTGGGACCCTGGTGAATTCCAGTGATGAATCTAGTTGGGAAGGTGGGGGAAAAAACTGAGTCCAAGATTAACACTGATTAATTCCTCATGTTTTTGTTTAATTTAAATTAAATTGTCTTACTTGTTTTTGTATTACTTGGCTACTTTGTGTTGTTTAGTGAGATTTTATTTTGTTCACCTGAATATTAGATTGTACCCCGCCTCTCCCCTGTTAACAGCTGGAGATAGGCACCGGCACCTCTCCCAACCCCACTAGGGACAAGGGTGTAAGAAAATAGATGGATGAATGTTCAACAATAACATTTACCTGGGTTTTTTTAAATGTACAACCCCTTTGTTAAGCAGTGAATGAACTGATCACTTCATTCAAAAATTCCTTGACACAGAAATTTTGAATGACCTCAATACAGCATGACTTCTCAGCACAAGTGCAGTGGTCAAGGTGTGTCTGTAATGCTAACTTGCAGAAGGAGTCACATAAAAATGTGTAATCAGAATCCCCCAAATAGGAATTAACTACAAACAAATTTATGCTGATGTCCTATGGTACAGTGGTGTTTAGCTTTTCTTTTTCTATTTATTTTTTTTTCCTCCAATTTCCAAAAGCGCTGGGAGAACTCAGTTGGCATTCAAGTCTTGCTAGATATGTTATGTTGGTTTTGTATGACAGACTGTTTCTCTGATGTCTCTCCTACTCTCATGGATCTATTTATAAATGCTGTCCTCGACACTGAACTGTCCAGGATCACATTGCACTTGGACATGTTTAGAGAACATGTCGTCTGGATGTCTTTTCGTCCTGTGCATAAACTTGCATAGCATGTTTTAAATGATCATATTGGTATTGATCTTTGGGATTCCTCTTCTATACATGAATGGAATCTGTGTAACTTATGAATGTTACTACTAAAAACTATTTTGTCAATATATAATTACTTTACCTTCAATATAGTGTGTGTTGCCTATTGTTTGTTTGAAACCACACTGAGAGTTTTATGATTACAAAATACCCGTTTACATTGTGCAAAATATGACTTTGTGGCATGTAGCCTAAGAAACAATACCTGTGAATATTGCAAAATAAGGATTTTAAAATTAATATTTACGAACAAAAAGGTGGAAATTATACTGAGAAGGTAAAGCCAGTAATTTCAGATTATTAAAAAAACCTTTAGCTAGCACTTGATCTCACTTTTAAAACATGCGCTGAAAGCAATTCTCTATTCGGAGTAATTATTTGGGACTTGGGAGCAGATTTGAAGTCAAAATGCTTCATAAAAACAATGTTTATTTTTTTTAGGCAAAACCTATCAGAAACCAAGCAAAAGTCTCATTTTTAAGTCTTACATAAGTTCTTCCTTATCATCAAGTGGAAGCATTATCTTTTACATATGTGAAAAGCGTGCCACCTCTTCAGAAATAGATTTCATGCCCCTGTTGCTTGAGAGCTCTCCACTATCATTTATCTCCTTGTTCCCTTTCTCTTTGCCGCACTCTCCTGAGTCTGTGCTGATATCACCTTTAGACTTGCATCATTAGTACAGTACGTCTGATCGTACTTGCATGTGTGTGAACAGGCAGTACATATATTCACAGTTGTGCACATTTGTAATACCCTGGTATGTTTGATATTTTTAGCCCCGCTATCAAGTATCTACTTGTCCCAGTTGGGAAACATCAATATGTGAATCACTGGTGGGAGGAAATGCAGCTGACTGTGTGTATGTGCATGTGTCCTTCACTTAATATCAAGGTGAGGGTTTTTTTTTTTTTTTTTTTTCCTCAAGTAGGCCAAAGACTTAAGGGTTAATGTATTTCTGAGTGAACCCATAGAGAACTGGCTGAGGACACTATTACCTCTATGAGAGGGAGAGAAAAGGCAGAAGTGGTAGGAATGTTGGAAAGACAAGAAAAAATTTAAACAAACAGAGAATAAAAGGCCATGGAGGTGGTAGAGTGTGAGGGAAGACTGAATTGTTATGGGTGGTGGAAGTTCACCAAAGTGAATGACTGACAGGGCGAAATCATTACACCAGCAGCTAAGTAACTCGCTTAATTGGAGCTACTGGTGTTGGGCAGGGTAAGTTCACATTTACTCATCGCATCAACACACTACGAGAGGGTAATGTTATATCTGCACAAACGATCACCGCCATGTGCAGTAGATCACATTTACTGTGCATGTCGAGCTGCTCATAGATGGAGTAGCTGCTCATTCCGGTAATGTAACCTATTTTCCTCCAAAAACATTTGGAATATTTTATTTACAATCTATTTTTGTAAAAAAGTAAAAAAAAACTTAGGTTTATAGAGACAAATACTTGAACTTCATCAACTGAATAGTTTTTTTCTTAAATGTGCAAAGTGTTGATAAAATCTTGTCACAGTTTGACAAAATATTACTGAACAACAACAACACAGTCTAATTAAGACAATCTAAGACTCACTGACATTTCCTATCCCATTTCAGAAAATGAGATTTGCTTAGTTAGGAAAAATGGTAACACTTTATTTGAAGGGAGTTGAATAAGACTGTCATGACACTTTCATAAACATGACATAACACCTGTCATGAACCAAGAAATCATTACTGACATAAATTTGTTATAAAAGTATTACTGATTGCACTTTAAAAATTAGGTAACTTTATGTTATTAAAGGTAAAGTTTGAACAGTAATGATTTCTTGGTTAATGTCAAGTTGTCATAACAAAGACGTTTTGAATAATGTCAACTTTGTATTAAAAGTGTCATAATTTACCAAATGACGCTTTATGACAACAGTCATAAATATTCATGAAGGCTTATTCATGTTCATGACAGGTGTTATGTCATGTTTATGACAGTGTCATGTCAGTCTTATTCAACCCCCTTCATATAAAGTGTTACCGGAAAAACTAAAAAATATTTGATTATTGCAGTAACTCCTCTGTTATTTGCATTACACAGTAAAAAGTAATAAATAAATAGGTAAAGCAATAAAAAATATAGGACAAGTGTGAACATGTCTGAGAAAAAGGGTCCAAGCGATAGGGAAAGGAAGTTTGATTGACTGAAAGGAGCTCAAGGTAGAACCACAGCTCCTTCCCATTGAAAATAATCAGTTGAAGTGTTTAAGGCTTGTGATCAGGACGCCTTCCTTGTGAGGTTATCCCAGGAAGAGGATGCTGTGGGACAGACACCAGACAAGATATGTATTCCTTCTCACCTGGGAACGTCTTGGGATAACAAAGTAAGTCAGACTGTGTTGCTGGGGACCTGACCTGATCTCAGATAAGTGGAAAATATGAGTGGATGGTTGGATGGTGAAAGTATCTTTTAACCAAACTATGCACACACTTCCATATATTTCACACACATTTCTGAGTACAATTCAGAAAATGACATCGAATTGGAGGTTGACAGATTAGGTATAAAACGTCCTTCTGCTGGGTCTGACACCTGGTTGCTACAGAACATTCCACAGTAGTCAGTCCCGTTTCACACCCAACTTTCTCAGATGTGACCAAAGCCAGAAAGGTACAAGTCCAAATAGCAACACTGAAACTTCGTTTAAAAAAAAGAGAGAGAGAGAGAGAGAACCCTTACGTGAATAAATTATGTTCATACTGCAATAAACAGAACATGCTGTGGGACAGCAGAGCATAGGGATGTAATGTTAATGAAACATTTTCAAAAACTGAGAAGGCTTGATGTCTCTGTGAAGTGAGAGGGATTTTTTTGTTAAACCCAAGAACAGCAAAATTAAGAAAACTTCATAAACAAATGAACAGCTACTCTGAGATGGTTTAACTTCTTATTTTCACAGCTGTGCCAGTCCAGCTTTAAGGGCTGTTTCCACCTCATGAGGTCATCATCAGACATTTCATGATCTAGAAGTCCTGCCTCAAATCTCAAATTTAGGGATGAGGGGCCGCTGGTGGACATGTAAAACAAAATCAGGGTGGGGATGAGCAGAAACTCAGATCATCACTGCACCACTACGTCACTACCAGTGATATGATTGCACTTAGTCATCCACTCGGTGCGTATTGAAAGTTAGCTTCCCTTTTCTTATGTTCACCAGGTAGCACTTGTGACATGCAAAGACAAACATTTAGCCAGTCGATAATACAGTTCAGCAACTAAATTCCAAAATGTATAAGTTCAGATAAGACTCAAAGTTTTTATGTTCCTTCATCTCGCTGTCCTGATCATCTCTGACAGCATCATAGAACAGAATAATGAAGAATTATACATTGCAACAAAAGTGAACCTCCCACCCACTTTCATCAAGGCCAAAGCAAACTGAATAAATGTGATGGGGGTTAAGGACAGACTGCCAAGTTTGATTTAATCAATTAAGGGAAGTCATACTGGTTGAGTAACTTGGTCTGAACCCACTAATACAGAGAACGAGAAACAATGTTCTAGTAAAAAGGTGTAGAAAAGAAGAACACCATGTCACTTAAATGTTTAGAGGGGAGTAGGGTCCAACTCACCAAGCAGTAGCACAAGTATAAGACCAGCGTGGAGCAGATCCCCTGATCGCAGCCGACCAGAGACACTCAAACCGGTGCTGTCCACTGACGCCATGACACCGACACCACCTGCCTGCCTGCCTGTCTGTGGTCCCGTCTGTTCCTCTGTAAGCCCACAGTGTATGTCCTTGACAAGCTGCCTTCTTGTCAACCAGTAACAGGTTTTGTTTTGGACTTATGTGCCTCTAGAACAAGGTGGGACACTGAGCTGTGCAGCTAAGAGAAGGAGTCTGGACTCCTGTTTGCAGTCCCTCCTTCTTCCCTCCTCCCCTGCACCCTGTCCCAGGAATAAGCAGAGATGGGAAGCACTGAAGAGAAGAGCTCTCCTCTGTCCAGTTGTTCTCCAGCAGCCCGGTAAAAGAAAAAGACAGGCGGGACAATGCAGCAGTAGAACGAGGAGACTCTGTCTGTTCCCCTCCCTCCTTCTCTGTCCTCTGCCGCTGTTCGGGAAGGCTGAAAATCCAAGAAATCACACTGTGAGGGAACAGGCAGAGATGAGACGTGAGGCAGAGCAGCGGCAGCGGCGCCTTAACAGTGCAGTATCAAGCAGCCCCCTCTGCTCCAGCAGCAACAGCTAGAGAAGCAGCCTGGCCAGCAAACCTCACTGGGGGAAACATAAGCTGCAGGACGGGTGGAGGAGAGCACGCATGAGGCACAGAGGGATGCTGGAGCAGAGCCAGCAGCGAGGGTAGGAAAGCAGAAAGTGCACTGAAAGCCGGCAGAGAGAGAAATGAGCAAGAGAGAGAGAGAGAGAGAGGGAAAGAGAGAGATAGCTACTGCAGAGATGGAGGTGAGGAGAAAACAAGAGAGAGAGAGAGGGAGAGAGAGAGAAGGAGGGGGACACAGTAATCGGTGTGAGTGACGGGGTGACGTCTGCTGCCACATGGAGGCACACATGTACGCATCCTGCAGAGTAAGGCTGAATCAGGTCTCACCGTGGGACGTGACCTGGGTGCTTTTCCCTTACAACACGCCAGTATTTTAGCTGGACCCTGAACTCATGGCTACACCTGCATGCTTCTCCCATTTCACACTTCTACTGTACTCCTGTGTTGGCAGGGCAATTCATTGGCAAGCTCTGACTTTGTCCCCTGGCATTTTCTCAAACAATAAATCAAGTTTTATCTCCAGTTTCTCTTTTCTCTCTTCAGCTGTATGATATACTTTCATAATTGGTAGACACCAGCACGACACTGACAATGTCAGCATGCAGTTTTCATTTGATCTTCATCTAATGTTTTACCTTTGTCACAAATTGGCCTAAGAAGTCCCTGTTCAAGATGACACCAGAAAGAATTTCATTTCATTTTACAAATATAAATCTACATAGTGTAATCAGTTTATCACTCTGTCACTATGGATCTACAATCACCATTATCACCGAAAGCTATTCTTAAAATGTATCTGAATAACATGGCAAAAGTGAAAGAGACTTTCTAATCACATCTTTGTTAAAGAGATTTTCTTTTTTTTTTCATCACTGACAATCGATGTGAAACATTTGCTGTGAAAAAGAAAATGTAAGCGTATGTGATCAGATTTACACTGCCTTACTTTCCCCTCAGATCTTCAGAATTGGCCACAAGAAAGATCTAATGTCCTTAACCTTCCAGAATCACTCATGTAAGTCGGCCGATGAAGCTAAACCTTGTCATTTACTATCTGTCCACGGCACGAGCAACTTAGTGAATTCAAAGCAAGTTTGAATCAAAAGTAAAAATTTAACTGGACGTTGGCAAGACGGTTTACTCACCAGATGAAGGAAAACCTGAAGCAAATACAGGAACGTACATGAACTGTCAAAGCAGACGCAAAGCCTTTTTTTCCTCATTGCTTAACACTGAATCAGGCTAAACTTTTCCTGCTTTAGGTAAGTTGGGAATACTGAACTTATTTCTGTTTTCTAGATGTTGGAATAATCAGAATTTTTTTTTTAAATATCCTTTTCTTCAAATTTGGAAAGTCTTACTATTTGGCAAGCTGTATGTTTGGGGTATCCTTTCACAAGATTCTCATAGTTGGCTTGGATTGCAATCTATTTCTTTTGACAGAATTGGGTAACTCATTTGACAGTGTGTTTATAGTCGGTGTATTTGGCCGACCGTTTCTGCCCTACCATTAACTTCCGGGCTGATGTCTTCAGATTCGGCTTCAGTATTTCAATATATTATTATTTCCTTGTAATACCATCTATTTCCTCCAGTACCAGCCCAATCAGTGAACAGAAGGAAACATCGTGAATGATGTCATTGATTTTCTCCTCTCTCTGCTCGTAGTTTTAGAAATGGCACCAGAGGAAGTGAATGAAGCTGTTCAGTCGATATTGGCCACACTTCCGAATATTGAATTTACATTCGCAGCTGCCTCGTTTGGCTCGGTATTTCTGTCTTCGCAGTGGAGGGCAGTTGTTTACGACGCAGGCACTTTCTGGTAGGATCGTAGCATCGAACTGGCACGTTACAAACATCACGGCCAAACATTAGAGTTTGGGTAAAATTTNCTTACGTGAATAAATTATGTTCATACTGCAATAAACAGAACATGCTGTGGGACAGCAGAGCATAGGGATGTAATGTTAATGAAACATTTTCAAAAACTGAGAAGGCTTGATGTCTCTGTGAAGTGAGAGGGATTTTTTTGTTAAACCCAAGAACAGCAAAATTAAGAAAACTTCATAAACAAATGAACAGCTACTCTGAGATGGTTTAACTTCTTATTTTCACAGCTGTGCCAGTCCAGCTTTAAGGGCTGTTTCCACCTCATGAGGTCATCATCAGACATTTCATGATCTAGAAGTCCTGCCTCAAATCTCAAATTTAGGGATGAGGGGCCGCTGGTGGACATGTAAAACAAAATCAGGGTGGGGATGAGCAGAAACTCAGATCATCACTGCACCACTACGTCACTACCAGTGATATGATTGCACTTAGTCATCCACTCGGTGCGTATTGAAAGTTAGCTTCCCTTTTCTTATGTTCACCAGGTAGCACTTGTGACATGCAAAGACAAACATTTAGCCAGTCGATAATACAGTTCAGCAACTAAATTCCAAAATGTATAAGTTCAGATAAGACTCAAAGTTTTTATGTTCCTTCATCTCGCTGTCCTGATCATCTCTGACAGCATCATAGAACAGAATAATGAAGAATTATACATTGCAACAAAAGTGAACCTCCCACCCACTTTCATCAAGGCCAAAGCAAACTGAATAAATGTGATGGGGGTTAAGGACAGACTGCCAAGTTTGATTTAATCAATTAAGGGAAGTCATACTGGTTGAGTAACTTGGTCTGAACCCACTAATACAGAGAACGAGAAACAATGTTCTAGTAAAAAGGTGTAGAAAAGAAGAACACCATGTCACTTAAATGTTTAGAGGGGAGTAGGGTCCAACTCACCAAGCAGTAGCACAAGTATAAGACCAGCGTGGAGCAGATCCCCTGATCGCAGCCGACCAGAGACACTCAAACCGGTGCTGTCCACTGACGCCATGACACCGACACCACCTGCCTGCCTGCCTGTCTGTGGTCCCGTCTGTTCCTCTGTAAGCCCACAGTGTATGTCCTTGACAAGCTGCCTTCTTGTCAACCAGTAACAGGTTTTGTTTTGGACTTATGTGCCTCTAGAACAAGGTGGGACACTGAGCTGTGCAGCTAAGAGAAGGAGTCTGGACTCCTGTTTGCAGTCCCTCCTTCTTCCCTCCTCCCCTGCACCCTGTCCCAGGAATAAGCAGAGATGGGAAGCACTGAAGAGAAGAGCTCTCCTCTGTCCAGTTGTTCTCCAGCAGCCCGGTAAAAGAAAAAGACAGGCGGGACAATGCAGCAGTAGAACGAGGAGACTCTGTCTGTTCCCCTCCCTCCTTCTCTGTCCTCTGCCGCTGTTCGGGAAGGCTGAAAATCCAAGAAATCACACTGTGAGGGAACAGGCAGAGATGAGACGTGAGGCAGAGCAGCGGCAGCGGCGCCTTAACAGTGCAGTATCAAGCAGCCCCCTCTGCTCCAGCAGCAACAGCTAGAGAAGCAGCCTGGCCAGCAAACCTCACTGGGGGAAACATAAGCTGCAGGACGGGTGGAGGAGAGCACGCATGAGGCACAGAGGGATGCTGGAGCAGAGCCAGCAGCGAGGGTAGGAAAGCAGAAAGTGCACTGAAAGCCGGCAGAGAGAGAAATGAGCAAGAGAGAGAGAGAGAGAGAGGGAAAGAGAGAGATAGCTACTGCAGAGATGGAGGTGAGGAGAAAACAAGAGAGAGAGAGAGGGAGAGAGAGAGAAGGAGGGGGACACAGTAATCGGTGTGAGTGACGGGGTGACGTCTGCTGCCACATGGAGGCACACATGTACGCATCCTGCAGAGTAAGGCTGAATCAGGTCTCACCGTGGGACGTGACCTGGGTGCTTTTCCCTTACAACACGCCAGTATTTTAGCTGGACCCTGAACTCATGGCTACACCTGCATGCTTCTCCCATTTCACACTTCTACTGTACTCCTGTGTTGGCAGGGCAATTCATTGGCAAGCTCTGACTTTGTCCCCTGGCATTTTCTCAAACAATAAATCAAGTTTTATCTCCAGTTTCTCTTTTCTCTCTTCAGCTGTATGATATACTTTCATAATTGGTAGACACCAGCACGACACTGACAATGTCAGCATGCAGTTTTCATTTGATCTTCATCTAATGTTTTACCTTTGTCACAAATTGGCCTAAGAAGTCCCTGTTCAAGATGACACCAGAAAGAATTTCATTTCATTTTACAAATATAAATCTACATAGTGTAATCAGTTTATCACTCTGTCACTATGGATCTACAATCACCATTATCACCGAAAGCTATTCTTAAAATGTATCTGAATAACATGGCAAAAGTGAAAGAGACTTTCTAATCACATCTTTGTTAAAGAGATTTTCTTTTTTTTTTCATCACTGACAATCGATGTGAAACATTTGCTGTGAAAAAGAAAATGTAAGCGTATGTGATCAGATTTACACTGCCTTACTTTCCCCTCAGATCTTCAGAATTGGCCACAAGAAAGATCTAATGTCCTTAACCTTCCAGAATCACTCATGTAAGTCGGCCGATGAAGCTAAACCTTGTCATTTACTATCTGTCCACGGCACGAGCAACTTAGTGAATTCAAAGCAAGTTTGAATCAAAAGTAAAAATTTAACTGGACGTTGGCAAGACGGTTTACTCACCAGATGAAGGAAAACCTGAAGCAAATACAGGAACGTACATGAACTGTCAAAGCAGACGCAAAGCCTTTTTTTCCTCATTGCTTAACACTGAATCAGGCTAAACTTTTCCTGCTTTAGGTAAGTTGGGAATACTGAACTTATTTCTGTTTTCTAGATGTTGGAATAATCAGAATTTTTTTTTTAAATATCCTTTTCTTCAAATTTGGAAAGTCTTACTATTTGGCAAGCTGTATGTTTGGGGTATCCTTTCACAAGATTCTCATAGTTGGCTTGGATTGCAATCTATTTCTTTTGACAGAATTGGGTAACTCATTTGACAGTGTGTTTATAGTCGGTGTATTTGGCCGACCGTTTCTGCCCTACCATTAACTTCCGGGCTGATGTCTTCAGATTCGGCTTCAGTATTTCAATATATTATTATTTCCTTGTAATACCATCTATTTCCTCCAGTACCAGCCCAATCAGTGAACAGAAGGAAACATCGTGAATGATGTCATTGATTTTCTCCTCTCTCTGCTCGTAGTTTTAGAAATGGCACCAGAGGAAGTGAATGAAGCTGTTCAGTCGATATTGGCCACACTTCCGAATATTGAATTTACATTCGCAGCTGCCTCGTTTGGCTCGGTATTTCTGTCTTCGCAGTGGAGGGCAGTTGTTTACGATGCAGGCACTTTCTGGTAGGATCGTAGCATCGAACTGGCACGTTACAAACATCACGGCCAAACATTAGAGTTTGGGTAAAATTTAAAATCTCAGCAGAGTCCACGCCTCCAGGAAGCAATCCTTTCTCAATAGCCAAGAGCCTAAACTCTTTGTACGAAGCAAAGCATAATACAAGGGTCAGGTTTTTACCAGGCTGACACTTCTGAACATTTCATTACAGGATTTACAGGATACCAATGATTAGATGCATAACTTCACCATAATGCAATATTTGATTGCATCTTACTAAGTTTACTTAGAATTAAGTGAGTAATTAAGTGTGAATGTTACCTTGTAGAAATTTTTCACTGCAAATCTGTGATTACACTGAAGGCTGTCAGTCCTTTTGATTGGTGCATGCTATCCATCGCTGTCTTCTTTCCTCATCAAAAGACACAACAACAACAAAACAAAACAAAAAAAATAACAGTTTGGTTTGGATCCTTGAGTCACTGTGCAAAAATCTCAAACTAGGTTTGAATAATTTGTATTTTAATGTAAAACAATCTAGTCCAGGTTTGACCAGTCTATGATTTTAGGTCCATAGCCTGACCTCAGTTCAAAGAAACTTCAACACCCATCAACAAAGTAAACCACATATGAGATATAGTCAAGAGCAAACAAATGCAGCAAGTCTAGATATATTTTCCAAATCAACAAGCCTCTGACTTTATAGAGCTGGTGACACTTGCAACCGTTATTTATTTATATTTAACAAGGATCAGATGGCTGTACCTAACATTTGCCCGTCAGGTACGTATTCGCCAATTCGGTGCTATGAAGCTTACCCGAAATTGCCTGCACTGTAAACAACCATCCCTCATTTTGAAGAAAGAAGTGCCAAGCTCAACCAGGCAGCCATTAATGTTAATTCAATATTTGGAGGCGTGGCCAACACGGACTGAATACCTGGCTTGACTTTCTTCAATGCTAAATCTACATGCAGACTACAATTGTAAAAGAGCACAGAACATTGATGTCACTGTTTGCAACTTCACCTTGTGTTTGCTGAGTGACCTGGTTGAAATTCTACCAGAAGAATCCAAATTAAAGGGAGAACGTCGAGACTGTGCTTAGAAGGAAGATTACAATCAACCGGTACGGTAGGTAGGAAGCTAGTGGCCAGGCTAATACTTTTTCAAGGCACTTTCTTCTTTCCTTTTTTTCAAGGAAGCATGACCTTCCGAGCTCACACACCCGTGAGTTGTCAGGTAATCCATCTCTTGGAGTTTAATGTCATTCCCAAGTTCAAGCGTATTTGGAGTGCAGTGATAGATGCTGACATGAATGCTTTACTCCCTTTTGTGGCTTACAGGCAATTTTGGAGACACAAGGTGAAGCTAACCATATTATATTATACTAACACTTGGCATAACAAAGATAAAGACAGTGAAAATGCTTGCACATAATAATGAGTGAGCATTTGCCTTTGCATATTCATGCTGACACGGACTCAGTCGCCTGTGAACACCTGTCTCTTGACAGGATGACCTTGGAGCCTATGTACAAAAAGGATGTGAAGTGATGGGAAAAAAATCATTAAAAGATCAAGAATGGAGGATATGAGTAAGAGGGGACAAATAAGAGTTCAGGGTAAAGACAGAATGGGTACAAGAAAAAAAAAGAGGTAAGGGTGGACAGGGCAGCATGAAGTGGGGGGGGAGGGGAGGCAACTAGAGCCAGGGGAGGAGAGATGACAGGAGGAAGAGGAGGGAGGTGAGTTTAGAGGCGGAGAGATGTAGAGAGTCGAGGAGCTGTTTCTGGGACGGCCAAAGCAGCGAAATGCTGCAGTGAAGCCGACCAGATGAGCTGGCCCGAATACAGCTACTTGCTCAGAGAGTTGCAGCACTTTCCTTTTTTTTCCCCCTCATACCTTCATTTCTCACCATCGCCACCTCCTAGGTTAACCTTCGCATCACCCCACACTTCGACCTTCGCTATCTCCTCCCCCCTTTCCTCTGTCTCTTTCTCTTAACGCCAGCCGGTGAGTGAGCAGATTTCAGAACGCATCTGAGAACAAGTAGGGTGGGCCTCGTTTCCCCGTCTTTTTCATTGGTTCTTCTTTTATTTCTCTGGGACGATCGGTCTGTCACTCTATGTATTTCCTAATTCAGTTTTTTTCTTTTTTTTTTAAGTCATTTTATTTTTTTCAGTGCCGATAGTCATATTGGCAGTTGTTCTTTCTTTTTTGGTGGGTCTTTTGTACCACAGTCCTGTGTTGCTTTTGTGTTTGTATCTGTCGTTTTGTGTGTCTGCTGATGGGAAACAACAACCAGAGGTGAGTCCTGTCCAACATTAAGAACAGATCTGAAGTTTAATGGTTAGTGCACTCCTAAACCTACTTTGGAAGTTGGAGTTGTAAAGTGCTCAGTGTTAGTGCTGACATATGAGAGAAATCTGCAGACTATGCAGCTGTAGATTCATAGTTTGATTTGAACTTATTTAAAAATGCCTGTAATTTACCTTGCACTCAAAAGCTTTTGGCAAAAGGATGTCAATGTATCATATTGCAGGGTGTCTGTGCATGTTCAGACGAAGGGTCATAGGAGATGGGAATTCATTCACTTTTGTCTTTTATCTTCTTTTATTACATAATTCAGTTAAAACACTGGAATTTGCAGTGTAATGACAGCGATACCTTTATTTACATTTCAATACAGAGTGACGTATTTTCTTGTGAAGTGTGGTATCTTTTCTTCATGTGCATAATTCATGTTGGTTGCTTCAAATTCATGCTTAGGTTTTTTTTTTTTTTTTGCACTCTCTTCATCAACCCGACTGTCCTACTTTTCTTGTGCACCTGTGCTGTTGGTCTAGTCTGTAGCATTTAGACTGATGCAATATGAAAGTCACAGCTAACTTTTCTTTGATATAAAGTTATTTGTTTAATCAGCAGAACCCTAAAATAGTTTTCTTCTTGAGGCTTTGGCAGACAGGATTGTCTTCTACTTACCTGTTTTGTGGTTTGTCCTTGACCCCAGTAGTTTTAATCATGCTGATAGCATTGTGTCCTGAAAAAGCGCGTGCCGCCTTACACGTGTCTGTTTTACTGCTGGTTTCAAGTTCACGATCAGCAAACAAATTTTAACACCAAATAAAGATAACCAGAGTCAATACAATTAGTTTTCAAATGATGATTTGTTTTGAAATCTGCCTTGACTAGGTCACTTCAAAATGTTTTCTATGTTGTCTTCTTAGTCTTCAGACTGGAGATTCTGCTGTGTTTTAGATCATAAACCTGCTGCATTGTCCTTTTGAATTTTCTTGTAGAAAATAGATTTAATAGTTTTAACAATTACAATTACAGTGAATTGTCCAGGTCATAAAGAATCACAGCAACCCTGACTATCACACTACTACCACCATGATCGATTGTTGTTCCTGTTCTGAAATGCTGTCAGTTTCTGAAGGTCTTTGTCTTCAGATCATAAATAAGTTTTTGCTAAATAAGGAAGTTGTGTTATTTTTGTTAGTATTGTTTTTTTTTTTTTTGGTTAGCAGTGATTTTGACCTGGGTGTAATTTTTGCCCAGTCTCTTTCTTACTGTTATATTATGAACACAATACATAAAAGTTCACACCCAGCAGGACTCCAAAGTTGCCTCATGTAGTCATTTTATAACCATGCCTTTCATTGTTCATATGAATACTTTTCACTCATTGATTTTCTGCTGTTGCTCTGTGCTTATTTAGGAGGAAAAAACACTGCACATTAATAGCTCGATGCAATCTGCTGGTTTTCTTTAGAAACTGTTTAAACTACTTTAAATAATTGAGCTTACTGCACTGTTTGATAACTAGGATCAATTGGAAAATACATATTACTTTTTTAGGTAACACTTTATTTGAAGAGGTGTGCATAAGACTGACATGACATTGTCGAACATGACATAACACCTGTCATGCACATAGCCTTTATAAATGTTTATGACAGTTGTCATGAAGTGTCATTTGGTAAATAATGACAATTTAATGCAAAGTTGGCATTTTTAATGGACTTTGAATGCAACTTTTAAAGCAACTTTGCATTAAAAGTGTCAAGTACTTAGCTTGTGTGAACAGAAAGACAGTGGTACAAAGGCGTCGGGTCTGGTTTAGCACTGTAACCAGTTTGATTGGGGGACAAATAGTATGTCACCAAAGAGATTGACCTGTCTGTAGAGTCTTCATGAATTTCATTTATGTAATTACATCAATTATATGTTTGTTTGTGCAATTTCCTTTTTCAATGCAAATAAATGCTTATGGTTAAAGAAAAAACAGGACTGAATTGGGTACATAATATATGCATAAATATGTCCAGTCATCTGGAACTGAATATTGTTTAGCTTAGTCTGGTAAAATTCATCCCCTTTGCTATTTGCTCTGTTCAGAGGGTCTAAGCTCTTGACTATTGAGAAGGGACTGCTTCCTGGAGACGTGGGCTGTATTGAAGTTTCAACTTTTACCCAATAGCTAATGTTTGCCGGTGACAATAAGAAACTTACTGAAATTTGTCTGTGCTGTAAACGACCGTCCACCACTGCAAAGAGAAAAGAGCCAAGCTACAGCTGTTAATGTTAGGTCAATATTTGGAAGTGTGGCCAACACGGACTGAACGGCTTTGTTTTCTTCCATTGCTAAAACTACAGGCCCACTACAAAATCAGCGTCATCATTCACAAGTTCTCCTTCTTTTCGCTGATTGGCCAGGTAAAAAAAAAAAAAAAAAAAAAAATCTACTGGAGACAATCAAAGTCAAGGGGAGAAAGCCCAGACTGTGCTGGAAGCGAAAATTTTTATTTTTTGTGTAATTGCACAAGAAGCTAATGGCCAGGATAGTTAGCTTAATATTGAACCTCATGAGTATCATGAGAAACTAGTGGTGTGTTTGTAGCAAAACATGATCACAGGAATGTTTCTTAATCTTCATTCTAATTATATGATGTGATTAAACTTGTTTAGAAGTAGCATAGTGTCAACTAAAATTCAAAGTGAAAAAAAAATAGTTTGTGGAAATTCATTGCCAGAGGTGAGATACAATAACACAAAATCAAAAAAATGTTATCGTAGTAATAATGTTTTTTCTGTTTATTTCTTTCTGCATGGAAATACAAGACATCCCATCATAAACAGTATGGTATATGACATCATACAGCCAATATAGACATCCTTTTACCCCACATAATATTCTGCCATCCCCTCCTGATCTACAGAACATGCGCGGATACACAGAAAGCAATGTGCCCAAGCTAACACAAATTTGAATTTTTCCTACTGAAACAACTCTGCAGAAACGATTCAACATGTCAACAAATCACAGCTTTGTACCGACTGCTAACAGCTCTGTTGTCTAATGCTAATTAGAGGTCTTTGAAAACTGCATGTAATTATGACTATATCAATGTTGCATCTTAATGTGCAAATTTAAATACATAGGTTCCACCCACTTTTCAAGTAATAGAGTGTTCCAACCTTTTCTACTATTGTTTTTACATAAAAATAGGGGGAAAGAAAGTTACTCTTTTTTATTGTGTACAGTTCTGTTGTTTTTTGTATTGCACTCAGATTTTCTCTCCATGGAAAAGTGTTCTCTTCCTGTAAAAAAAAAAAAAACAGCTCCTAAATGACTTATTATTAAACTCCAAACTTCACCTCACCCCAAGCAAAACAAGAAATTACCAAGCTTCAGCTAATAAGCAACAAGATACCACACAGTTCCAAGGTGATTCTAATGGAACAACAGTCAATATCACATAAAGTCACTACATATAATAGCTGGATGGACCAGCTATTAAACTACTTGTCTTTATTTCTATAGTTAGAGGAGTGGCTTGGCAATAAAAACATTTAGAATCTATCAATCGAGGAAGCTAGGATTGTTTTAATCTTAGCTACTGAACTCGTGTTGTTTTTTCTTAGAACTGCAGTTCTTTTTTTTTTCAAATCTAACAGTAAAGTTTAAACTATTTGCAAATCCAGTTTCCCTTGGCTCACATTTTATTGCCATATCTTATTACCAGCTGAACTTCACAAGTATTTTATACATTTCAGATTGTTTTTTGCAGTGAATCTCATTTTATTTCAGTCTTTAAAAATAAACTCCACTTGTCAATAAACAATATAGCTCATCTTTTAAAATATATTCAGCTTCAGAGGTAACAGTTACAAACAAATCACAATAAAGTGCACATAAGTTACTGACACTAAATTATATGTGCAGCTAATACATGTCAAAAAATAAATAAGAAATTTACGAAGAGTGATAAACTGCACCACTGACTGCTGAAGCAAATGTAAGTTTAAACATGCTGCGACTCGCATCGCTATGTGTTTTTATATCAAAAAGAAGTGTTGTTACCTTCATATTAGATATTTCTTCTGATATGTGGAATGTGACATGCATTCATGGCAGCGCTTTAAAATGTGCATGCTTCAGCTGCCAAAACAATTCATTTTACTAGCTTTGGTGGATAACTAAATCTCACAGATAAGCAGGTTTATTAGCACTACACTGTGTGCTCCTTCCAGTCGGTTTATCAACAGAATGTAAAACATTTCATTGTTCATCATTTGATATTGTTTTGTAAAATGACCACTGCTAGTACTAAGATCTTATGGGTCCCTGATATGCATTGTTATTACTAAATAACCGTTGTTTATGTGTCTTTATTTCATGACCTTTATAAAATGTGACGACATTTATTAACACCATTATGAAACAAGATTGTGGGCGCAATGTACATTTTTTGTTTGCACCATGTTTCTGGCTGGCAAAAAAAAAGTATTAATAATCTAGTTTTTAATATTTCACTTCATCTGACACTAAATAATTCTCATTCCTAGAAGAACAAATGAGAATAATTTTGAGTGAAATGACAATGTGACTGTCAATCCAGTGAACCTCCAGGTAATAGTAGAGTAAGTTTATATTCTAAAGTTGTTTTGTTCTTTAAATAACTGTGTAAAATCTGTTTTGTCACATACAAATGTGTGTTTTCTAAGGAACTCTTGTAAAGTTCTGCAAAAAGGCCTTTGGTCTTTAATTTTAGTAATTTATATGAAGGGAGGTAAATAGTTGTTTTTGACAAAATCAGACACTTTGTACATGGTAATTAGTTGTGTGAGTGCTGGAAAAACAACAAACAAAAAAAAAACAAAAACATTTTTTTTTGTTGACTAAATTCAAGAGACCAAAATCGACCCTTTCACCACAATCACCCTTTGTCATTAAACAAAAAAAATACATATCACTCTGTTCACAGTCAAATTCAGAAGAGGATCTGACATGCAGTTGAACTTATTGAAATACCAAAATATTTTTAATAAGAATCTTTTGGACTCTACCAGAAAGTTAAAAATTGGTTCTCATTGGGTCTCACAAAGCACATAAATCATTTTCTGTACACAAAAGAATCTTTCTTCCACAGAAATCACAATCTAAGTCCCAAAGAACATCTGTAGGGTAGAGTTGGTTCAAGAGAAGCAGTAATTTTTCCAACATTTCTTCTGCCTGAAAGTTAATGTTTCACAGTAGCTCAGCCAGAGACTCAATTTAAATCTGATATTAAAGGGAGCTCAAGATTACAATAATAACTTGAAGTTCATGACCAAAGATAAATGGTCAAAATACCTTGCAAAAAGATGGTCAGTATTTATAAGAATAATCTTTTAGACTATTTTGTTATATTTTGAGAGAGAGCCTTCTTTCATTTAGGATCATAAATAAACATTATGGTGAAAAAAAAAAACTGAAGTTCATATCTAAATTTGCAATGAGTATTAATAACTTAACTGTATTTACTACTATGGGAATAATCCTATAATATTTCCCCCACTGCATCCATGTATTCAAAGTAGAGGTTGTTTTTGTCAGTGCAAGGTCATATTACTGCAGGAAAAGCTCATTTTCTTCTAGACTTTATATAAAACTTAACAAGGCAAGCAACACATTCCTCCAGATCTATATCTATCTCCTTTTATAAAAGAATTATCCTAACCTTGAGGGATTTTTTTGTATGGTGGGTTTAGGCCATGATATGATAATATACAATATTATAATCTTCTCCAGAAATATAATAGACATTGTTTGGCTGTTTGTATTAAATCTGCTAAAGTGCTCTGAACACACAATATTAATAAAACATAAATGTATCACTAACCTCTAAATGAACATTAACAAATGCAATTAATAAAAAGTGACAATGAAAGAAGACAGTGTGCATACAGGTCCAGAAAGTTTTAGTCTCTTCCTGTGATTGCTTCTAGTTTTCCCGCTGACTGTAGTAATGTCATTAAAATGCCGCCTTCACAGCTCCTATATAAGACACAGTGCACCTCTGGAGTTTTTCTGTTAACTCTTTTTATATTATTTTTTATTTTTTAAATATCTAAAAAAGGCATTTCACTTAAACAATTTTAAGACTCAAAAGTGCAAAGAGCGTACCATAATCGTTAACTTGAGTAAATCGGCCGGCGCTATTGCGAATGTGATTAGCTGTATTTGTGCTTTTTCCACTGTGACAAAAAAAAAAAAAAAAAAGTCTCCTCTAAAAAGGCCAAATGAATAAAGGCATCCGATTTGTGAAAAGTTCACAATTGTTGGAATGTTTGAGAATAATCTCTGGCTCAGACATAAGTCGACATTACTGGCACAAAAACATCGTTTGGCTGAGTTGTCAAGCAGCTGCTGACCGGCTGTGATGACAACCGGTCAGCAATACTAATGCTAGCTGCATTAGCTATGACTGGACGTGAACTGAAAAAAAAAAAAAAAAAACTTTGGCTGGGCACAATGCAGGATCCCTTGGCCTTATATTATGTAAATTCAATCTATTCAATTCTATCATCAGACATCGGTAAGATTACAGCTTTTGATGTTTTTCTTTGTTCTCCTTAAAATTGCAATAAGGATCTAAAATTTGCGACTGAAAACAGTTTATGGTAACATAAAGTGCCATTTTTACCACCAATGATCTTTTAGCCTGCGTTGTAAACCTCTATTTGTTGTTCTGAAGTACTTGTGAAATTTGTCTTGTCTGAACAGCAGTGCTGTACTGGATTAAAGTAAAACTTGGTTTTCTTCATTTGGCTTCATCTATCCTGATCCTAGACTCTGCTGTAAACTTTTAGAACTTTAAAATAAAGAACAATAAATAAATAAATATATATATTGTAATTTTTTTTTTTTTAGCCAAAAGATATGTTATTTCTGTGTTATTGCATTCTTGTAACTTTTAACCGGCTTTGAGTCCTCAAACGCTATTTTCTTGTATTTGACTCAAATTATTCAACAGCCAAGGTGATTTAAGTATATCACTAATAACTGTCAATTCATATGCAACACATACCAAAAATCATATTGGAACCATTTACTGGTTGGAAGTTTGTATATCTAATTTAGCTAATTTTGGAATTAAATACCAAAATGTATATCTGCTGTAAAATTTAACATTCCCAGACTACTGTAGTGTAGGTTGGAAAAATCAAAGGAAGAGCAAAAATATCGTCATGTTGAAATCCCAGTTGTAAATTATAACTTTTCCAGTACTGACCTGACAATGGTGGGAAAGGTGTGGAAATATCAGGAAATTCATTATTGTTGTTGATGAAATCTTGGCAATATAGATAAAATAAGTCAGGAGTTTTTAGTCTATGATTAAAGGAAGAAAGCTAAAAACAGCCATTTCATTGATGAGTATGTACATGTACATTAATACATTCATTCCTTACAAACACAAGATCTTCTCTCTTTTGTGCATTTGGCACACAAAGACAGACACATGCAAATATGTTTGGCCAGTGAGATGATTCAAGCAGTGGTTACTATAGTTTCTGAAGGAGGTGGCACACAGCTCTGAAATAAAAAAGAGAGGAAAAACAACATTATGACTTTAGAAACCAATTCATATATGTACAATGTCGGCATGCACGAACCTCAAGATAAAACCCAAATTAGAAAAAATAAATTACTGCTCAACAACAACAACAACAACAACAAAAAAAATCATTGTGATATGTTTATTACATCTATTTACCAAAACGAGGAGCAGGAAGTCGAAGATCCAGAGACTGGTTTGGACTACTGTGGTAATCTGACATAAAGTAAGAGAAGGAAAGCACGACATTTTAGCAGTAATCTGTTTTGTTTTTGGTGCTTTCGTAAGTGCTAAACTTAGGAAAGTGTTTTTTTTCTGTACAGTGAAAGTTAAAATATAAATATTTCCACACTCAAACTCCACTGTCAATT